TCAAGGGATGCAAGCGTTGAGTACCTTGGAGGCAAAAAGCTGTACCCTCCGTTCTGTCAACTTACGACGACAGGTCTTGTGTCACGCTCTGATGGATCCAAATTTGGAACCGTAGGTCTGCGTACCAACGACAACAACGTTGTTACGGAGTTTGATGTCGCCACCCAATATGGGCGGCCCTTGTTTGGACGATTGCAACTGAACGGAAAGTTGAAGGATGCACTTGGAAATATCTTGCTCCGAATGAGAGGTGCGGGCCAGGAGCTCTCGCTGCAGAAGTATTATTCGCTCTTGGCGACGCGGCTTCAAATGGGTCAAGTGTCGTTTGATTTTGCATCAGAACTAGTGGCTTCGGGATACGCACACCTGACTCACTATTCACCAGAACAGACTGCAGTGGCCGAGATTGCGTTTCTTCCTGATCCAGTTTGCGCATGGCTTGCAATGACACAGATGATTGAGGACTGTAACCTGTATGAGAACGTTGATGGTATCTCGCTGGGGTGTGGCAAACCCCCATCTGTCTGGTCAGAAAAGGCCATCAAGATATACTCTTCTGCATTGTGCCGCCCCGAAAAGGGAGACGTCGGTGAGGTTGCAGCAGCCTTTTACATGCTGGCTTGCGGGGATGAATTGCGGTCCAAGCAATCAGAAGAGCTCACTCAGCTTTCTGTTCCACTAGAGGACTGGATTGCATTAATGCAAAAAGGCAAATATAAAACTGCTGTCAAGACTGCTGTCAAGACTGTGGAACCAAAGGCAAGTGTCAATTTCATCCAAGTTTGTCGGAACTATTTACGTTACAGTTTGAGAGAAATTCAGGATAGCGGACTTCTCAAGCATTGGTATCTTGCTGGACGAGCATCGTATGTGTACGCTTCCTGCCATGCGTACGACATATTGGTGCCATTGCAGTACACTGTAAATGGGGCTTTGCATTACTGTCCCATGTTGGTGAGTGTAAAAAATAGAGTGACATACAGTTTCAACCAACGTCAAGCGGCGATTGAAGCAATGGAAAAAGTATTTACTGTCGCCAAAATT